AATGTTTTCACGTCCATTCTGTTAGACACTGACTTCCACCACAATTTGGCATCCCTAGTAAAGTTGTAGGCAGCCAACAGAATCTTCACAGAATCATTTTCAACTGCCAGAGCATCAATATGCTTTTCCACCTGGTCAAACCAATCATCTGCCAACAATGGGTCAGTCCTAACCTCAAACAGTGTAGACATGAGTCTGACAAATGTGGAGATAAGTTTGAGACGTCTTTTTGTCTCATCTTCCCCTGCAGGCATCACTGGCGGTGGCAAACCTCCCTGTCCCACAGGGTGAGATGCAGAACTCTCCCCAGACCGTCCAACTGCAGGCCCAATCTCTTGGCCTCTCGATGCATTGTCCTTTCTACAAGGCGGCATACTACAATGAAATGCAAGTCAATAACAAGGTCACTATCTACAGTCCTAAATTGACTTATATGAATAAAAGCCATTAAACACATAGCATGCTTTGCCGTAATCAAATAAACACATAATCACATATTCACGTAAGTATGCTTCCACGACAAATACCAGATAAACATGTAAGCACATAAGACAATGCAAACCCCTACACACACAACTGTAGACAGACCTCTACCCGTCGTCCTTAGGTTATAGGAACCATACTTTGATACCATAACTGTCACGCCTCTAGACCGTAGTCCGGATTGTGAACACAACACACAATACAATCACAGGCTCAAAAAAAAAAAAAAAAAAAAAAAAAAAAACAAACAAACAAACATATCCCCTGTAACCTGTCTCAACCACACATCCACCTATCTATTTCCCTTTACAAACACAAGCCTGAAAATTAATAGATAAGATGCACATATTATAACATCAAAGTTTGAAAGTCCGAAATAACATTTATTACATGCCAGCAATATTATAAAAAATATAAGACAAAACAAAGACTATTTTGCGGAATATAACACCACAACACCAGCCCCGACTCTGTCTACAGCTGAGGAGGAACACCCTCCAAACTATCCGTGCCATGACCTGAAAAGATGTGAATAATATAGGAATGAGGAACCACAGCTCAGCAGGAATTGCCTGAAGCGCACTCTTTAATACCTCCGTAAATCCAAACAAAGAATAGATAAAGGATAATGGGATCATATAAACTCGGGGAAAGAAATAATGTCGTGCCAGATAATAAAATAAAGTTCCATGCAATGCGAATGCTAATACTAATGCCACTGACACTTCTCATTTTCCAAAAGCCCATTTCCATCACAAAAAGTTAACGTAATTCGGCCAGAGCTACTCCCTGTACCACGAGAAGAGAATTGATCATCTATCCCTGATCCAAGGCAACTTCCTGTGATCATTTGAGGCCTAGTGACACAATTACGCATAGGCAACTCCTACATCTTCACTAGATTCTCATTAACTGCACAGACATAAGGCAACTCCTTTGTCCAGTTTTTAAAATCATTGATTCAATCCCACTTTCCTAACTCACGGATACAAGGCACCTCCCTGTTATCCGATTTTCAAAATCATTTATTGAACTTTCACTTCCTTTTTCATTCTAACCTTAACCCCATGACCATGCCAGATGAATGCACAATTGTGTCATGTTTTGAAGTTTCTAAACGGTAAATAGTTCACATGCAGCATGTTACTTCTATCTTTGAAAATTCATAACAAATTCAATTCTAAGTCAAATTGAGTGATTCCAAAGCCTAATGAAAGGTTAAATAATGTACTTTGAGAGTGTCAATTTAGTTTAACAAAATTCCCCCCCAATTGGAATAGTTTTGATCCACAATTTTGAAATAAAAATCTATCAGACACTGATTTCCAGCCTGTAGCTTCCATCTTCAAAAATTCATAGTAAATTCAATTTTCATCCAAATTGAGTGAATCCAAAGGCCAATGAAATTTCAAAGACTATATTTTAAAGATAAAATTTTATTTCATCAAAATTCCTTACCATCTAAAGCAGGTTTGATGAGAAACACTCGGACAGAAACTGCCCCAAACCAGAATTTCCAGCAAGAACACTCTAACTTTAAAAATTCATAATAAATTCATTTCTCAACCAATTTAAGTGAAACCAATTAGAAATGAAAGCTAATCACCTTATTATCATCATATTAAATCATATCTAAAAGATCAATTACGAATTGACATCAATTTTGAGTAAAACATTTGCATGTAATTCAGCCTAACAGTTTCAGCAGCACAGAATTTCAGTTTTGTTTGCATGCACTTTGCAACTCAAAAATTGAAAGAGATTAACTCACTAAAGGCAAAGGAATTGAGGGTTAGACAATCCTACCTCCAAAAGAAGCTTGAACCTTGCTAAACAACAATTTAAAGCAACTCCAAAAAGGAAGCAAAGCCACAAACTTTGTAAAAAGTGAAGAACACCTTTTTGTTTTGACAAACAACAAAACCCTGTCCCTGTAGAAACATCCTCATCAATGTCAAAATCAACCCAACTCAATACATGTGATAGATCCGGCTCATACTTCCTCAACATCGAAACATGAAACACATTATGGACCCTGTCCATCTGTGGTGGCAATGCTAATCTGTAAGCAACTTTGGCCACTCAATCCAAAATCTCAAATAGCCCAATGAAACGAGGTGACAACTTGCCACTCTTTCCAAATCGTAGCAATCCTTTTCATAGAGAAACCTTGAGAAACACGTGGTCTCCCACTTCAAAGGATAATGGTCGTCTCTGTCTATCTGCGTAACTTTTTTGTTGGCTCTGAGCAGTCAACAACCGTTGTCGAATCAACTTAATCTTTTCAGTGGTTTCCAAGACAATGTCTGGCCCTAAGGCGGGTGTCTCACCTTCCTCAGTCCAACAAACAGGAGAACGACAAGGCCTACCATACAATGCCTCAAAAGGAGCCATCTCAATGCTCGACTGATAGCTATTGTTGTAGGCAAACTCAACAAGAGGTAAATGATCCTCCCAACTACCACCAAAATCAAGTACACAGGCCCGAAGCATATCTTCCAAGATCTGGATAGTACACTCTGACTTGCCGTCCGTCTGCGGATGGAATGCTGTACTAAAATGCAACGGTGAACCAAACGCTGCACAAAGCCCTTCCCAGAACTTCAATGTGAACTTAGCATCCCTGTCCGAAACAATGGACAATGGAACCCCATGTAATCTGATAATCCCTCTAACATACAATCTGCCAAGTGCCTCAGCAGAATCTGTCGCCTTAATAGGCAAAAAGTGAGCGGTTTTAGTTAATCTGTCAGTAATGACCCAAACAGACTCATTCCCCCTCTGTGACCTCGGAAGTCTTGTCACAAAATCCATAGTAATACATTCTCATTTCCACTGTGCTATTGGCAATGGCTGCAACAAACCTGCAGGTCTCTGATGCTCTGCCTTTACCTGCTGACAGGTAAGACATTTAGCAACAAACTGAGCTACATCTGCCTTCATCGCATTCCACCAATACTGGTGTTCCAAATTATGATACATTTTAGTACCACCTGGATGCACAGTAAAACGAGAAGTGTGAAACTCCCATAACACATCCTCTCGATAAACCGTAGGAACCACAAGCAAACCTCTGAACCATAAACCACCATCCGTGTGTAAGGTCCAGTCCTTTACTGTGTCCCCACCTAAAATTAACTGATGAATGGTAGCTAAATCTGAGTCTTATCTCTCTGCCTCAATCACCCGTGTAACAAGAGTAGGTTGAACCACAAGACTAAACAGAAAAGCTATCTCACAACCAATATTGTCATCACAACACAGTAATCCCATCTCTGCTAGATCCTCCAACATCTTCCATTTCCAAATGGCTAACCCAGCCAAAACTCCATGAGATTTTCGGCTTAAGGCATCTGCTACCACATTCGCCATATCCAGATGATACTTCAAATCAAAATCATAATCTTCCAAATACTTAACCCATCACCTCTGTCTATTATTCGAGTCCTTCTGAGAGAAAAGGTACTTGAGACTTTTGTGATCCGATAACACCTCCAATCCCTCACAATACAAATAATGCCACCAGCTTTTCAAAGCAAAAACAATTGCTGCTAACTCCAAGTCATGAGTGGGATAGTTAAACTCGTGAATCTTTAACTGTCTAGATCCATAAGCCACTACCTTACCACCTTGCATCAACACACAGTCCAAGCCATCCCGAGAAGCATCACAAAAGACAACATAACCTAAGCCACGCTCAGGTATCATCAATACTGGAGCTGTAGTCAATCTAGTCTTGAACTCTTGAAAAGACGACTCACAAGCTTCAGTCCAATCAAATCTAATCCCCTTTCGAGTCATCCGAGTCATAGGAGCAGCTAAGAGAGAAAAGTCCCTCACAAACCTGCGGTAATAACCCGCTAAGCCAAGAAAACTCCGAATCTCATACACATTCTTGGGATTCTCCAATCTAGAACTACTTCTATCTTCGAAGGATCAACTGACACCCCATTACCCGGAACAACATGTCCCAAAAACTTCACCTCTTGCAGCCAAAATTCACACTTGGAATACTTGGCATACAAATGGTGCTCTCTCAGCATCTGTAACACTATCCTCAGATGGATCTCGTGATCCTCCCGAGATCGTGACTACACAAAAATGTCTTCCATAAACACTACCACAAACTGGTTTAGATATCTGTGAAAGACACGGTGCATCATATCCATGAATGCCGTTGGCGCATTAGTCAACCCAAAAGGCATCATAATGAACTCATAATGACTATACCGCGTACGAAAAGCTATCTTTGGAATATCCTCATCCCGAACTCGTAACTGGTAGTAACCAGATCTCAGATCAATCTTGGAAAAGCAAATAACGCCCCTCAACTGATCAAACAAATCGTCAATCCGCGGTAAAGGATACTTGTTCTTGATGGTTACCTGATTCAATTTTCGATAATCAATGCACAACCTCATAGAACCATCTTTTTTCTTTGCAAACAACGCTGGCACGCCCCATGGTGAAACACTAGGCCGAATAAAACCCTTCAGCCTCAAATCATCCAACTGCTTCTATAATTCCTCCAGCTCTGCTGGTGCCATACGATACGGAGCCAAAGAAATCGGTGCAGTACCAGGCATCAAGTCAATCACAAACTCAACCTTTCTTCTAGGAGGTAAATCCGGTAAGTCATCCAGAATCACATCCAAGAACTCACAAACAACTGACGGATAAACTGTCTCCACATCACCATCTTCTTCAGCTAAAATGCTAGCTAAGAAAAAATCACAACGGTCCCAACCATGAACACCATAACAAGCAGAAACCAAGGAATCACCCCGATCTCCCACAAACACAAAACAATCTCCCTCCGGCATACACACTGAAACTCTACCATTGAAGCAATCAATGGTGGCATGAAATGATGATAACCAATCCATACTAAGAATGACGTCAAACCCTGTCATCTTAAGAAGGATAAGATAAAAAACCTGAGTCCACCCAGCAATCACAATGGCACAATCCTGCACCACTCTGCTCACAACCAAGGAACCACTGACTAGCGTACCAACACATAACACTCAGTCCAAAAAGCCAACCTCTAATCCCGATGCAAGTGCAAATGTGCATGAAATGAATGAATGAGATGCACCAGAATCAAACAAAATACGAGCCCAAGATCTAAAGACTTGAAACATACCCCTCACTACTGAAGGTCCCGAAGATGACTCAGGAAGTGCATACACTCGGCCCTGGGATACCTAAGCCTATGAACCTCCAGCCTGAACCCCATATTATTGATCAGTCCCTGTAGAAGTACCCCTCCCAGCTGGTCTAGATCCCTGTGAAGATACAGCTGGCTGTGGTGGTCTAAATATAGATTTACTGTAGTAGACTAAGATGGTCTCTGTTATGTACCACGACCACTACTAGAACCTCTGCCTGAGCCACCAGTCTTCCTTGGACAGTCTCTAACCCTGTGGCCCAGCTGACCATATCCAAAGCAAGCTCTCGTAGAAAATGACTGTGGACAATCAGACACATAATGACCAGGCTGTTGACATCCGAAACATATGACCTCACTCCTACCTGCTCCTGATGGTACAGAAGTCGAAGGAATAGGTCAGCCTGACTGCTGTCCTCCAGACTTAGATGAACTCCCTTTATGCCTCTTGCTAGACTGACCCTCAGCCCCTGAACCACTGGCTCGTCTTTGCTTCCACTGATCCCGAGTCTGATTTTTATCATTTAGCTCAGCTTCAACAATCAATGCCCTTTCTATAGCCTCAGGATAAGTCTGTAGGCACTATGCTGCCACAAAAGTCCTAATCCGACGATGGAATCCCTCTACAAACTTATGGACTTTATCTGATTCCTTACTTACAATCTCTGGAGCAAAACGAGAAAGAGAAGTGAATTTATTCTTATAGTCTGTCACTGTCATAGAATTGTTCTGGAACAGAGAGATAAACTCCTTGTGTAGCTCCCATCTTTTAGTCGCACGAAAGAACTTATTGTAAAATAACTCTTTGTAAGCATCCCATGATAATGTCTTCACTTCCATTCCGTTAGACACTGACTTCCACCACAATTTGGCATCCCTAGTAAAGTTGTAGGTAGCCAACAGAATCTTCACAGAATCATTTTCAACTGCCAGAGCATCAATATGCTTTTCCACCTGGTCAAACCAATCATCTACCAACAACGGGTCAGTCCCACCCTTAAACAATGTAGGCATGAGTTTGACAAATGTGGAGATAAGTTTGAGACGTCTTTTTGTCTCATCTTCCCCTACAGGCATCACTGGCTGTGGCAAACCTCCCTGTCCCACAGGGTGAGATGCAGAACTCTCCCCAGACAGTCCAACTGCAGGCCTAATCTCTTGGCTTCTCGGTGCCTTATCCTTCCTACGAGGCGGCATACTACAATGAAATGCAAGTCAATAACAAGGTCACTATCCACAGTCCCAAACTGACTTATATGAATAAAAGCCATTAAACACATAGCATGCTTTGCTGTAATCAAATAAACACATAATCACATATTCACATAAGTATGCTTCCACGACAAATACCAGATAAACATGTAAGCACATAAGACAATGCAAACCCCTACACACACAACTGTAGACAGACCTCTACCCGTCGTCCTTAGGTTATAAGAACCATACTCTGATACCATAACTATTACGCCTCTAGACCGTAGTCCGGATTGTGAACACAACACGCACAATCGCAGGCTCAAAATAAAAAATAAAAATAAAAAAAAAATCCCCTGTAACCTGTCTCAACCACACATCCACCTATCTATTTCCCTTTACAAACATAAGACTGAAAATTAATAAATAAGATGCACATATTACAACATCAAAGTTTGAAAGTCCGAAATAACATTTATTACATGCCAGCAGTATTCTAAAGAAATATAAGACAAAACATAGGCTATTTTGCAGAATATAACACAACAACACTAGCCCCGACTCTGTCTACAGTTGAGGAGGAACACCCTCCATACCATCCGTGCCATAACCTGAAAAGATATGAATAATATAGGAATGAGCAACCACAGCTCAGTAGGAATTGCCTAAAGCGCACTCCTTAATACCTTCGTGAATCCAAACAAAGAATAGATAAAGGATAATGAAATCATATAAACTCGGGAAATGAAATAATGTCATGTCGGATAATAAAATGAAGTGCCATGCAATGCGGATGCTAATGCTAATGCCACTGACACTTCTCATTTTTCAAAAGCCCATTTCCATCACAAAAAGTTAACGTAATCCGGCCAGAGCTGCTCCCTGTACCACGAGAAGAGAATTGATCATCTATCCTTGATCCATGGCAACTCCCTGTGATCATTTGAGGCCTAGTGACACAATTACGCATAGGCAACTCCTACGTCTTCTCTAGATTCTCATTAACTGCATAGACATAAGGCAACTCCTTTGTCTGGTTTTAAAATCATTGATTCAATCCCACTTCCTAACTCATGGATACAAGACACCTCCCTGTTATCCGATTTTCAAAATCATTTACTGAACTTTCGCTTCCTTTTTCCATTCTAACCTTAACCCCATGACCATGCAAGATGAATGCACAATTGTGTCATGTTCCGAAGTTTTCAAACAGTAAACAGTTCACATGCATCATGTTACTTATATCTTTGAAAATTCATAACAAATTCAATTCTAAGTCAAATTGAGTGATTCCAAAGCCTAATTAAAGCTTAAACAATGTACTTTGAGAGTGTCAATTTATTTTAACAAAATTCCCCCCCAATTGGAACTGTTTTGATCCACAATTTTGAAATAAAAATCTGTCAGACACTGATTTCCGGCCTGTAGCTTCCATCTTCAAAAATTCATAGTAAATTCAATTTTCATCCAAATTGAGTGAATCTAAAGGCCACTGAAAGTTCAAAGATTATATTTTTAAGATAAAATTTTATTTCATCAAAATACCATACCATCTAAAGCTGCTTTGATGAGAAACACTCGGACAGAAACTGCCCCAACCCAAAATTTCCAATAAGAACACTCTAACTTTAAAAATTCATAATAAATTCATTTCTCAACCAATTTAAGTGAAACCAATTCTCAATAAAAGCTAATTAACTATATTATCATCATATAAAATCATCTCTAAAAGATCAATTACGAATTGACATCAATTTTGAGCAAAATAGATGCATGTAATTCAGCCTAACAGTTTCAATAGCACAGAATTTCAGTCTTGTTTGCATGCACTTTGCAACTCAAAAATTGAAAGAGATTAACTCACTAAAGGAAAAGGAATTGAGGGTTAGACAATCCTACCTCCAAAATAAGCTTGAACCCTGCTAAACAACAATTTAAAGCAACTCTAAGAAGGAAGCAAAGCCACAAACTTTGTAAAAAGTGAAGAACCCCTTTTTGTTTTGACAAAAAACGAAACCCTCTCCTTTAACACCACTTTTGACAACCCAGAATTTGTAAAATGTGCACAACTCTTATGCCACGAGGAAGCTCTCTTCCTTAGGAACCTTTTTAATTCACAAAGTTAACCAAAACTTATAACACCAGGCTTTCAAAATGACAAGTAAAGAAGCAGCCGATGGTGAAGGAATACATGGGACGAAAATTCTGCAGATTGTTTTATGTTGCAGAAAATATGTTAATCACAAAACAAGAGTCACCATATATACACACAATATGCTGCCATGTGTACCCCCATGTGTCAAGCTCCCAATTAATCAAATACATGACTAAGCAAAATGACCAAAAAGTCCTTCCATTATTTCTAAATGCCAATTATGCCAATTGCATAATAAAAGTCTACTTTGCCTTTTATAAAATAAGCAATTACCAAAAATGCCATTTGTAAAATAAAAAGTCTATAATGCCCTTTATGAAATACTAATTGACAAATATGCTATTTGCATAATAAAGTTTATAATATTTCTTAAAAAATAATGACAGTTAATGAAATTAACACACATTTGCAAAATAATTATAATTCCGACAAGAAAAAGAAAATGCATGTATGTCAAAATGACCAGAAAAATGATAAAAATGCAAGTGCTCATATTTCCACCATTTTGCTTTCACTTTACTCCTTTCTTCCATTTAGCTTGAGATTGCTTCTTTTATGCTCTAATTTGGCTGAATTGACTTGGCTGAATTGACTTATTTTGAGGATAAGCGCCTGAAGAGGGCAATAATATGAAATTAGTCTAAGACGGGAAAATAAGATAGATAAAGATTCTAGAATACTCGAGCTTAAGGGGTTTAAATGTGCACTTTTCAGCGCTCATCACACCTTCAAACTTAAATATTGCTAGTCCCTAGCAGTGAACTATAAAGTAAATGAATGAAATGAATAACTATATAACTAAGAACTAGAAAGCAATAAAATAATAACGCCACTTTCGTAGAGAACACGATTGCATTTAGCACATGCAACAAGCCTCTTAAACCCCTAGGACCGGCATCAAATATGTTGCTATCTAAGCCAACTAAAGAAATGATCACATCCTTACCCTCAAACTAACACACAAATCTAGTATCGATCATCAAGACAAAGAGTGGACCTTTCGTTAAAACTTTATTGATCTAGGTATGCTTATTCATTTCACTCGATTTTTTTTTTTCTATCCCTAAGGATTAAAGATGGAAGCATAGTGCAATTTGTTGATTTATTAAGCTTTCTAGCAACCCATGAGATCGAGTGTTAGGTCAATGACTCCCAAACCGGATGGCTTTAGGGCACTAAGTGTTCAAACACCCCTAAGGACTTATAAGCTCAAATCAACTAGGCTACAAATCAAAACAACCTCCATCTAATCATTTCCCACTTCTCACCTTTTGGGAGAAGTCCACACTTTTTTATTTGTTTTTGCAACAAATTTTTTTATTTTATTTTTTATTTTATTTATTTATTTATTTTTGTATGCAAGTTCAATTATTAACCTAGAGTTTGGGCCTTCCACCGTTCGGTGCGAGAAATTCAGTGCTTGATGAGGCTAGAATCCCGGCTACTCAATGAAATAGGTTTGTTATCCATTTTTATCTAGATGAAAGCTTTTAATGCACTTCTAGCTCAATTGAGATATAACCAATTCAATAATCAACAAACCATGTACCCCACAAATGAATGCTAGTGTGCGTCCGTGCTAGTGTAGAATTCTAGATTGAATCTCAAAACAATCACAAAATCAGGATGATGTGGACCACAAATGCAAGCAAGATATCAATCTTCCAAAAAAAAAATACTCCCAAATGGCATCCACAAGGCATACAAGGAGTATTGGACTCTCAAATCTAGCAATTTTTAAATTTTAAGTAATATAGTCCTCAAAAGATCAAAATCATAACTAGTCATGGATTTCACATCTCAATCATACATTTAAAACTCAACTTCAAGTAGAATACAACAAAAACACCTTACCCCCAAACTTAAATCGCACATTGTCCTCAATGTACAATGAGAACAATGGAAATGATAGAAATAGTATACCGTGGTGGCGAAAGCATGAAACCCGGCAATGATCTAATATGAAAAGGGTTTTCCCCAAACTTGGAATCAACAACCTATTTGAATAACCACACTAGCAAACTCACATCAAATATCAAATGGGATAAAAGGTAAATGAAATGATACACTCTAAGACAATATAGCACAAGATGGAAGAGATAAGATATCAAGCCCTACATCAAGTATAGAAATATGAATATATATAAGGGCACAATGGTAAAAAGTTTTTTTTTTTTAAAAAAAAAAAATGCATAATGAAACAAAAATGCAAGAAAATATCGACAATGATTGCTAAGTTTAACGTCTCTAGCTAGACGAAATGCTGCCGTGGAAGAGATATTTTTTTTTTTTTAGAAACATCCTAATCGATCAAAGAATGATCGATCCAACTTCGATCGATCCAAATGCGGAAAATCTGCAGATAGCTTCGAACGATACACAGAGACGAAATATGCAGAGATCTAAAAATTTTCTAAGTATGAAACAGAGATAAATCGAAGGGATAACTAGATCGATTAAAAATTAATTAGATCGATCTGGAAGAAAGTTCGCACGATACACAGAGACCTAAAATATGTAGAGAATCTTCGAATGATGGAGAAGAGTGATGATTGGATGCAGAGAAGATGTTCGATCGATTGAACCTCTTTTGAGATCGATCGAAAAGTCAAAAATATGCAAGAAATTGAACTTCTCATGAGATCATTGAGTGAATCACTATATCTTTTCATAGATCGGATCAACCAAAAGGGTAGCTTCCATATGTCTTTGAAAAACCTGTCCCTCAATGTAGAGTTTTAATTTTTGCCCATTCACTCTTTAAACTTCGAACTTCAACCGCCCCATGAGATGCAACAGAAATGATCTCATACGGACCTTCCCATTTAGTTCGCAGCTTCACAGGAAA